AGTCCTAATCTACAATGACATAAATTAGAACACTCAACCAAATACGAGAAAGAAGAAGCATTGTAACTGTCATTCGGTGCTCGGCGCACTACCATTACATTCAATTCGAACATTCTATTTGAAAGATTCCCTTTAGCTAAGAACATGTCGTATTTTAGTAAAATAAATTTATCCGCTACAAAGACTAGTTTAAAACTATGTCTGACCAGTAGTTATCATGAGATGAGGTTTTTGTTGATGTCAGGTGTTCTCACTCATTTGACTTCGGAAGAGGCATGGTTACTCATGCATAATTTTCTTCCTTCAATCTTTTTATAAGTCGAGAAACTTGCCTTGTAAAAAAAAGATATGGCACGTGGCACCGGTATCAATGAACATGCCTTCGTAATTACAACATAACTGGTCTCGTATATAACATTTACAAGATTATCAACGTTGAAGTCACGATAAGTCCTGTAGGACGTCTCGACTAAGTGAGAACTATGATTAAATTTCTTCTTATTAGACAGTCTATAGACACGTGCTTGTAGCATATACAACGCAGATGTTATAGATGTTAAGTAAAATAACATCTTCTTAGTTGGTCTTGTCTGTTTGCTTTACTGAGACTGTATAGCTTGTATCTAGAACTACGTATGGCTTGATCCCGTTTAGGTACGTAGGCGTCTTTAGTCGATACCTCAAGGAGGTCGACACCGGCCAATGATATGATCTGATTTCCGGTAGCATCCATGATATTGCCATATTAATCGTTGGCCACCATTCTTGCATTATATCTATAGATATTCATTTCTACGATTGTTAGATATATAATAATAATTTATATTGCAAGAATATAATAATCGAAATAAATTCGATATCACAACAATTTTATCGAAATAAATTCGATATCACAACAATTTTTTCGAAATAAATTCGATAATCAATTTATCAAAATAAATTTGATAATCACGATAATTTTATCAAAATAATTCGATAATCACGTCGAGTCACGGTAGAACCTCTCTCCGTAAAAACGAGGACCCCCGGTAGTGCCTCTGGTTCGTGGCGCAACGTTCTCAAAGATGAAACGACGTTTGTCTCCGAATTAGGTGACACTCCAATATTTCGAAACTCCAACGAACTAAAATGAGGAGAACTTTTACTATGTCAGAGGTTTAAATAGAAAGGAAAAGGTCGGAATATTGATCGGAATCTTAACGGAGAAATCGCCGGAAACAAATAAAATATATATATTAGAGAGAATGGGAGAAAGAATGATTTTTTGTTCTTTCAAATGAAAAAACCGAGGCCTTTATATAGGCATGTACAAGTGGGGAAACTTTAATTTATTCAAAACCAATTAAAATTGAATTGATTGATTTTGGTATATACTGACCAAACGTTCACCAATTCAAATTGGTTTGAATTCCATAACTTGCATGCATCAAATGCATTAACATGCATTTATTCCATTATTAAAAAAATTAAAATTTATGCATATATAATAATATATGCAAATTTCTTCCATGCATGCAAAATACATGCATTTAATTTAATTTTTTCATGCACTAGAGTGCATTAATTTCATGCATGCAACTATGTGCATTATGACTATATTTCGGTCTATTTAAATTTATTTTCTTAAGTTTCGGGTTTAATAAAATATTTTTGTGTTTTTTTATTATGTATTATATGCATGAACCACATTATGACACCTATTATATAATCTATATGCATTTCAACTCACCGAATAATTGTTTCAAAAATTATGAATTTAATTTATAAATTAAATTCCATCGACTAAATAAATTATTGATCAACCGGTTATCCAACATTTCTTTTACTTCCTTGATTGATTTATTTTGCTATTACTTCCTTCATTGTCTGTAGAGATTTTCCAGCTTAGATCACATCTAGAATTTTTAATCATTCTTTTATTCCTTTGGATTATTTTTATTTTAATTCTTTTTTTGCAATTTTCTTTACCATAAACTTTCCTTGAATTCCAATTTTATTTCATTCTTTTCATTCTCTTTTACCTTTCAAACAACACGTTATTTTCTTGATTCAATTTCGAGTGATTCTTTACGTTTCAGATTGTTTATTGAGGAAGTCGGAGAACCCATAAATTTTCGACTAGTTCAATTCGCTAAGTCTTCGAAAATAATTCGAGGGACAACAAAGGTTAATAAATTAAATTTTTTTTAGTAAATTCAATTGAGAGAATTACGAAAATGTCTTCTAAAGTTGACATTTGATGATTGAGAAACAAAATAGACATTAGAAGAGAATTGTAATTCATTACCATCAATGAGAATTGCTGATCTTGATTGATATAGTACTTGAAAATATTTTATTCTATGTTTCCAATGAGGCTTATTAGGACCTTGATCAAACTAGGGTCGATAAAAATTAATTATGGGCCTGTGGGTTTAGTTTTCACAGGCCCAATGGGCCTGATTAGATTAATTACTCCACAAGGGTTCAATATTATATTATAGCCTAAAAGACCAGTAGTACATAATTTATAGTCTTTCTATATATATATATATATATATTTTTCACCTAATTAATAAAAATTTCCCAAGATGCATTAGCTAGGTACTAACACTAACTAGCTGGTAAAAGATGCTTAAAATTAATCATACTGTTAAATCATTAATAAAAATAAATAAATACAAAGTTTCGATCATGCAAAATTGAAGCATGCAGCAACTCATGCATAATATTCTGTTTGTTCCCTATAAGCAGGTAAACTTTCCAGCAATTTTGGCTTTACGACTTCAATTTAATTTATGTTTTTTTACATATATTACTGCAAGTTTAATTTCCCACCTGACTCAATTCCCAATCTTTGTGATAGGCTACACTAATTATTTAATTAAATTAAAAGGGGTGAACAACCCTTAATTTGACTGCCAAATAATTAATTAATAAATTAACATTGTAATCCATTTACACATTTCCACACCATTTGTATCAATTAATTAATTGTAGAAGAGATAAATTGAGCAATTAAAATTTGATTATTATTTTTTTATTTTTTATTTTGATTTCCAGACATGTTGAAGATATATATACAAAAATATTACAATATAATGCTTCTGGTGTTGGCAAAGAATATTATTATTCACACCTCTTTACAGTTAGAAATTTTTGTCCATTCCGATTCCCTTTGCATGGTTGTCGTCTCCAAATATTTCCATTACTCACTTTATTTTGCTTGCATTTTTGGAATTTGTAGATTTTCCACTCATCCTGTTTTTAACACACACACACACACAAAAAATAAAAAATAAAAAATAAAGTAGTTTTATGTCAGCTTTATTAATGTGGAGGAATCTTAACCTTATTAAGTTGTCACACATTATTAATATAATTATTTATCACTATATATATAATCTATGAATTTTATTTTTCCACGCACAATAATAATAACAATAATAATTCTTTTATTCCCTAAATGCATTTTTCAATAATTTGCTCTAATAGCAACACTAAATGTCTTGTCACTGAATTATTATCCCCCAAGATATTCGAAATTAGATTAATCGATCGACTTCTTCGACAAGTATTCATCATAACATAGCAATTAACGATGAACTAAATTATTCGATTCGATTCAAATATAAAATAATCTAATAATATATATATATATATATGTTTGTCAACAAATATATAGCTAGCTAGCTATTAATCTGATGTACGGAATGTGATTAAATTGTTCCTTAGCACACTATGGTTTTCTTACTTAATTTTTGTATTGTGTAATATTAATAACCACATATTTTAATTTTGTACCCTCAAGATTTATTTATTTAGATAAAAAAAAAAAGGAAAAAAATAAAGAAGCTAAGATAGTTTGGTCCCCTGTCACAAATATGGTTAATGCCTATATATCTATATGCAAGAGGCATGCACGATTTTATAATTAAGTTTTGAAAGTAAGAAATTTAGCTAGTACTTAATTATTTTTATTTTTATTATTATATGTAGTTATGGTGGATAACAATCATTTTCTATGCACCATTAGATGTAGTTAATTCATAATTACATTATAGTTTTAGACTAATTAACAATCCACATATATATACATAAGAGTAAAAATAAATAAATTTTTCATTGTTATTGCTCTACCTTTTTCTCCAATTTCTCTTTTTGGAGGCACAATATTTTTTAAATGGAAGATGGAAACAATTTTATGAGGTTCTAATTAATCTAATTATTACACTATTGGCCATATATATATATATATATATATATTATGTAACTGATGAAATGACCTTTAGGTAAGGAAATGTAGCTAATTTAATGATCATAAGGGCTTCTATAAATAACTCACTATGATCTAGCTACGATTTAAATTTAATTTAGAGGTCTTTATATTTATATTCAAAAGTAAATATGATTGACTAAATTTAGTTATTATGGTAGGAATAACAGCTACATGGTTTCTTTTTCTTTATGCTATTGCAATTTATCATAACCAAATTTGCTTAATTTTTTGTTAAAATTTGCTAATAAAAAAAACTCATGGGAAGTATCATCAAAGGTTGTTAATATTGCAAGAATATTTGTAAGAAGTAATTATGGGTATTGATATTTGGATAAGTGTATCTGATTTATATTTCTTTAAAATTGCTATATATATAGTAATTAACTAGTAATCCTATTCCCTCTAAATTAACACTTATTTCAAACATTTCTATTACAATTAAAACTTAAAAACCCTTCTATTTTATTTTTTTTTTCCCCACAAATTTCTTGATTCTTCAATCAAAATATAAAATTAACAATTGTCACACCCAAGTTCCCTCCACATGTCAACCAATTTTTCTGGCTATACAAGAAAATTAAGATGAGATTTTTCATTCAACTTTCCCTCATCAATTGCAGCAAAATGCAAATACTAATCATTTAGTACATTGAAATGATGATAAAAAGATAAAAATAAAATAAAATTAACAACATTTATTTCTTACATACATCATTGCCAATAATATCAACATCAAATCCCCCTCTCTTAAGCTCATGAGAAATCAAGAAATTTAAAAATCAAAAGCTTAAACCTGAAAGTGAAAACAAGAAAACCCTAACCCTAGCTAATCTCACAGCATTTCTTAGCTTCTCAGAGAAGACCAATCAATCATATACTTAATGAATCTGATGATACACAAAAATATAATTAAAAATACACACACTATAATTAATTATCACAATTACTGAAGTAAAAAGAAAAAGGTTGAATCAAGTACAATAAACTACACCAAAAATACATGAACTAAGAGGAGAGTAATAAATAACTGAAATTAATTAATTCTAATAAAATATATATATATATATATATAATATGAAATGGGTTCTATATGTAAAGAAAGAACCCACACTTTCCCAAGTCAGCTGCAAATTAAGAAATACAAAAATATACAGAATCTAATAATTAGCTACTAATCTAAGCAATATATTAATTAAACAATTAATAGTAATAATAATAATAATAATAATTCAAACTCCTTACTAATTAATTAATTAATTAATTAATTAATCAACATGTGATGATCATATCAGTATAGTAACTTAAAAATTAATTTCAATTTCTACTCCTCCTTCTGATCCTTCAACATCTGTGATGGCAGCATGTCCTGGAGAAGGCCATGGTCTCTCGCCGAAGAAGACGACGAAGGGCAAAATGGTGTTTCCCGAAACATAGGAGGAAATGTAGGATTATTACCGGTGCTGATCAAACTCAACGGCGGATTATTCAAGCTATGGAAATAGGGTTGCTGCTGCTGCTGCTGAATAACCACCTGTGGCTGTCTTAATTGCTGCTGCTGCTGCTGATGATGATGATGATACTGATGGTGGCTGAGTATTTGGGGAATTAGAAAGTTGGAGGCGGCGGAGCCACCGCGGAGTGATCCGGCGGCGCCGCCGAACATGGAGGTTTCCGGCAGGAACCCAAAGCTGCCCCGGGGGGTGATGGGGCAGGGATGTGTGTGTGTACCTTCGTAGGTTGTGACAACAATGGATGGATCCTCAGAGGATCTTTCAACTCGCTTTTTCACTCCACATGCTGTACTTGTACAACGATAGTAGCTCCTACAATAAATCAATTTGATTGATTAAAAACACTGTCCCAAAAATCAAAAAATAAGAACACAATTTGGCAATAATTATTATTATTATTATTATTCACAACAATTAACCTAGCTAGCTCGTCGAAATCATTAGCTCCCCAAAGCTCATCATTCTTACAGACTGAAAACCCCTAAGATATATATATATATATATATACACGTATGTATGTATTTGATCGATGAGTGTGAATATACCTTGGAAAAGGGCTGTTTTTCACAGCTTTCTGACCGTACTTTCTCCATCTGTATCCATCATCCAAATGATCGATTTCACTCTTTGTCATGAACGCAAATCTCGGTTCTCTTGCCCTCTTTTGGTTCTTCTTTTTGGGTTTCAGTCTGGTGAGAAATTTTTAAAAAGTAAGAAATAAATAAGACCCAAAAAATCACCTTTTTCTTAATCGGACGACATATGTATATATATATATATATGTGTGTGTATGTATACATAAAGGGCACAAAATTAAAATACGAGGCATCAAATCTGCGTACTGGATTTTCTTTTCGAAGTAATCAGATCATGATGAAGAACAGAAACCCCATCCCCATTATTATCGACAAGATCTACTTACCTCTCACAACCTTTTTGTTGGAAGATCTTTATCCTAATTAGTTTACAGAAATTTTTAAAGCACAAGAAAATTACACGGCCCGGCCCTAATGGTCTCCGATCACAGCACTGGGAATTGATTAATTAATTAAACAAATTGAAATGGAATTAAGGATAAATTAATTAATTAATTAAATAATTACTTTTTCTTAGCGGTTTTTTCTTGATCCTGAGATTCTTCGTCTCCATCGCCTTCTCCTTCACCTTCACCTTCTGCAGTGATTTCATTCTTTTTGTGGTCGTCGTTGGCAGCTGCCTCCGTCGAAGACGACGACATGGAGGAGGAATTAGGGGTGGCGGGAGCATTCGCCGCCTCGTGATAATATTCCGGCGCGGCGGCGGAGGGCGGCGAATGGAGAGGGGCGGTGATGTTCTGAAGCAAATCGTCGAATATGGATGAAGGAATGGTGAAATCATGGACGCTGCTGAGGACGTCGACGAATCCCAAGGAGGGCTTCTGCTGGTGGTGATGATCGGAGGGTATGTCGAATAGGGAGGTGGTCGGAGTCGAGGAAAACCCGCCGCCCGGAATATTTATGATCTGATCGGAAAATAATGGCGGCGGTGGCGGTGGCGGTGTGGGGAGGGTGGGGGAATTCTGCGTTTGTGAGGGGGTTTGGGTGTGAGTTTTCTTCTCCTCCATGGATTGTGATTTCGGGCATAGATTCTCTCCTTGGTCGTCTGTCTGGTGATGTTCTGCAACACTGATAATGAAATCGAACCTCTGTAGAGAGAGAGAGAGAGAGAGGAGAGAGAGAGGAAATGGTGTTTAGTTTTGGGGGTTTTCTCAGTGTGAAGACAGACTTTGATATGGCTTCTTTTTCTCCCTCTTTATTATTTTCTTTCTTGATTTTTAATTTTTTCTTTTTTTTAGACGGGTGGGGTTACTGTGGGGTGTGGGTGGGGGGGATTCGGACAAGAATGTGGGCCCACAAACTGTGTTATTTTTTGTTTTCAATATAGATATATGATTACAGATATATTTTTATTTTATATATATATATTACTTTCTCTTTCTTTTATAATTAGAAATTTAGAACGTAGTAGTATTTCTATTTTGCGTGTAATTTCACCATTTCTTTTTTCTTTTTTTTCTTCCTTGATAAATTAATTAAACATCTCTGGTATTACAATTTGTACCATTAGCACACGTTTAAAATGGTTGTAAATAGATGATGATAGGCGTGCAATATTAAGAGGAGATGGTTATAAATAATACTAATAACATAGGTAAGGTAATTAAGCCCTGTTACATTTAAATTTAGTGATAAATGTCTTGGTACACTCTTGACATGATACTTTAAAAAAATGTGTAATTAGTAAATAATTAAAAATATATTAGTAAAAATAATTTATCTTATAATATATAGAAACTATAATTTACACATAGTATGGGAAACAACGTAGATAATAATATTATTATTATTATTATTATTATTATTATTATTTTATATAGAAAGAGAGGAGAGGAGAGGAGAGGAGAGGGGGAAATGGCGGTGAGCCGTTGGTACGGAAACTTAAAGGGGAGTAGGGAGAGGAAAGGAAGAATTATTATGCTATTTTTATTTTTTTTGCCGATTAAATTCATTAGTAATTTATTTCTATGTTACTTTTTTGGCCTCGAAATAAGAATATTATTTCTTGTGTTGTATTTAAATTTTTTAATATTAATATTGTAATTTGTAATAAAAATAAATAAAAATATTTTTATTAATATTGTATACTATGAAAATAATAATATTTATGTAATATATTATAAATTATAAAAATATTTATAATATTAGATAAATAATGCAGTTATTAAATTAAAAAATAATAATATTTTTTTAATAAATAAAATGAAAAATAATATTCTTAACATGAGCATTTTTTTTCTACTTATTTTACTATTTTTTTATTAATTATTTAATATTTTTTATAATTTTAATATTTTTTATCTTTTTCCCTATTTTATTGTTATATTAAAAAAATACTACTCCCTCTGTTCACATACCATGTCTACCCATGTCACTTTTCTTTTTTGAAAAATGATTATATACTTTAATCTCATTTAAATTTTTTAATTTTTTTTAAAATTTTAATTAAACTAATTAGTTATCTTAATCTTAATTTATAATTATTTATATTATAAAATAATTATTTTTATTAATACATTCTTAATTATCTACTAATTACACTCCTCCTAAAATACAGTGCCTACAGTGTAACAGAGACAGTATGTGGGACGGAAATAGTATTTTTTTAATTCACCAAAATATATGTTCATTTGGATTAAATATAATAGTATATTGGTTTATTATAATATATATTAATACTCTCTGTTCCACATAGTGTGATACATTGGATTTTTGAAGTGGATAGTACTCCCTCTGTTCCAATACAATAGTCTTATTTATCATTTTTGTTCGTCCCAAAATAATAGTCTCATTTTCATGAATAACCATATCACTATAAAATTACCCTTTCTGTTTTATTATTATTACACAATTATCACTACTTTTTATACTAATACACTCACAAGGGACACAAGGGCAAAACAATCTTTTACCCATACTTTTTACCTACTATAAATATAATATCGATATTTCTTAAATCTCGTGTCAAACACAACCCAGACTATAGTTATAGAACGGAGGAAGTATTAAATATAATAATTTGAAAATAAAATGATATGATAGAAGAGAGAAATATGTATACATTTGGGTGATATGATTGAATAAGCTCTTGTGTATTTTTATCAGGGAGTTTATCATTTCATATTTTAAAAAATATTGCAAAATATGTGAAATAATCTGAAAATAGAATATTGCATGGTAATATGGGACAAACGGAATAGTATTTTGAAAAGTATATAACTAAATTGACGAAGTTAGAAGAATTTTTTTAAAAAAATTGAATGTGTAAGTAGTTGCAATTTTTTTTATTAATTAGGTATAATATTAAAATATACTACAAATTAAAGAATGTGTAAGAATTATATTTTATAAATAAAAATATATATCGTGAACAAAAAATATATATAATTTGATAGATGGAAACATATACTCTCTTCGTCCCGTAACTATGTATCCGTTTGTTTTTTGCACGGAATATTAGAAATATTAATATTATATTGGATTATAGTAGGAATAAAGTAGAAATGACTAAAATAACTTTATTCGTATTGTGTGATATAAAGGTAAATGGTTGTGTAATATATTGTAAGTTGTAAGGATATTTGTAATGTTAGGTAGATTGTACAGTTACTAAAAAAAAAGAAATTGATACTTTGTTATTGAACGAACTAAAATGGAAAAATTGATAGTTTGTTATGGGACGGAGGGAATAATTTTTTTAATATTTGTATCAAAACAATACTCCATTAGTCCTAATTGAATCATTTTTAATATTTTCTTCTATCTCACTTCAACGTATATAATTCATATTTTAGAAAAAAAAGTAATTATACATTAGTACCAAAATACTCTTAACTTTTACTTAAATAACAAATACTACATTCGTCCGGCTTTAAGGGTCTCATTTACTTTTTGCGTGTTGATATTTGAATATTAATCGTTATATCAAAACATAGTATAAATTAAAAAAAATGCCAAAATACTTCCATTAGCGTTTTATAATACTTATAAAATGAGATTTCTACAAAAAAAAAATTATACAAATATAAGAATGTTTTTAATGTAAGTACAATGACGTAAAAGATAAATGTGACTTTTAGAAGCGGAGAGATGGAATCCATCATTACACCGTTTATACGTACAATTACTTTATACATAAAGTCAAAGAGCAAAAATATCAAAAATTCTTACACATTTCTATTAACTAATAAAATACTATTATTTTCGAATCTACTATAAAATTTCAAATGATCTATTTGATTTGAGACGCGAGAAGTATCATACAAATTCCGAACAAAAAAACTACTTTTTTTTTGTCTAGAATAACTATGTCATTTTTTATTTTTTATTTTTAAATTTATGAATAATTTATAATAGATAATTTTATTTATTCGTAACTTTAATGTTTTTATTTTATCAAATAATAATTAGTTTGATATTATTATTTTTATTTACCTCACAATATTATTATTAATTCTCTTATAATTTTTTGATAATATTTTATTTTTTATTTATTTTATTTTAATATTAAAATAAAATTATTTTTTAAATTTTTATATCTAAATATTATGGCATAATTAACTCTCAAAAAAAAAAAAAAAAAAAAAAAAAAAACAAAACAAAACTGGATTATAGGATAGGGGAATAGATAGATGGGGGACTCACTTTTACCCTTACCCCAACCCCCACCCCCACCCCCACCCCCACCCCAACCCCAACGCCCCTTGGCATTAAATGCTTTCTCCATATATACAGACCGACCCGACCGTCCCTATTCTATCTATCTATCTACATACCTTACTTTCACACTGCTTCTCTTCTTCCTCTCTACTAAATCTTAATTACAACACACCCTTCTTTTTAGTTTCTCCGTTGTTCATAAATATATTTATAATTCTTTATATATTAATTAAATAATAATATTTTTTCTCTTTATCTGAAATATTTATATTTATTTTTACTTTTTTATGTAAAATTTAAGAAATATTATTGTATTTAAATGATATTTGGTGGATAATTTATGTGCTAAGTTTTCTTTTTTTTTTTTTTTTTTTTTTTTTTGCTTTCATAATTTAATTTGATATGTAGTATTTAAGTAATATTATTGTATTTAAATGATATTTAATGGATAGTTTGTGTGCTAAGTTTTTTTTTTTGCTTTTATAATCTAATTTAAAATTGATGTAAATATTGTAAATTTTAGTATTTAGACTCTTTTTGGATTGATTTTTGGCAGAAGACTTTGGCTTTTGTTTTTGAAAAAAAAAAATACTTTATACCTATTTGCATTAACTTTTATTCAAAGTAAAAAAAAAAAAAAAAAATTAAGCTGATTTTTTTTATATAAAAAAAATGGTTTTATAATAATTTATTCAAATAAAAAATTAAATTATTTTTTACTTCTACTTTTGATTTCTGCTTATTTTGTAAATCAATCCAACCAGTAGTTTTATTTACTATAAAATGTATAGTTTATATTTGAATATTCAAATTGGTATAAAAATTAACTTTACACTAAGATCCACATCTAAAAAGAAATTGTATATTGAGTGACTACGGGTTTGTTTGTTTTGTTTTTTTTTCGAATGGAAATTATTATTATTATTATTATTATTATTATTATTATTATTTTTATGTAAAATATAAAAAAATTGTGTAAATAATCCTATAAAATGTGTAATATATTAATTTTTGTAGAAAATATTGAGAAATTTTCACAAAGCAAACAACCTGTATTTTTGTACTTCCGAGTAAAATAATATTTTTTTAATCTCGTAACAAATGATACTCCCTCCGTCCACATATACAATATACAATTACTTAATAATATTTTAATTATAGTGGGTAGTTAAAAGTAGTGTAATAATATTTTTGCCCTTGTTTTTTGATATAAAAGTAACGATGTGATGTAAAGTAAGAGAATTTGTTGAAAAAAGTGAGGTAATTAATGAAATATTTATTTTGTAATTGGATGTCCCAAAATAGAAATATATATACTTTAAATTAATTAATTTTATAACATATTATCATATATTGTATAACTCATTCAAAACGTCTTTATTTTCTATATGTTTTCCAATAAATAAATATTTTTTATTCATATCTATAAGTCTCCATCTTTTATCAAATTAATTTATATTAATTATAAATAAACAAATATTTTTTTATTTATCTAT